CTCGGCTAGGATACGGGTTAGGGGCTGGACACTAAAGGATATTCAGTGGGGTGGTTATCAGCATCCTACTCTCGACCTTGCGTTGCTCCTCAGGGGTATTCTCCCGAAGTCAGAAAGTTGCGTCATCATCATTGCTGTCATCGCCCAGCAAGCCAAAGGGCGCGTTTCACTGAAATTGTTGAGGTCTGTGAATATGCGTTGTATCTCGCAAATCACAGTAGTGTGGCAATTTATTTGCTCCTCTAATCTGACATTTCGCGTGATCGGTTTGTGTAACAAGTGCTTGTATATACAGCATCTAACACATGATTTACTAAACTTTTATAAGGTCATTGTTTGTGGCGATCACTCTGGGAAATTTCATAATGGACTGATCTAACTGGAGAGAATCTCCAGTTTAATCTACTGAGTTTGACTTAGGGAATTTGATCAGACTGGAAAGCCACGGTGTCAGTGAGGCTGCGTAAAGGATTTCGGACCTCATGTGGGAATAGCCTATGACTTATTCATGTAATAAGTGCCTTATTTTATCCCTAACTTGTTTTACGTTTCTATAACCAAACAAGTGGTTGGTCCCTAAAACTGGATCGGAATTGATCCACCGGAAGTAACTTCTAGCCATAAGGCCTTTGCTAAAACCTTGGGAGTGGTTCAGAGAGTTTTTGTGATACTTGTTTCCGAGCAGTTCAATGGGGTGGCTCATGAAATGCGATGGTTTTATGATAAAATGATCCGGGGTATCCCAATCATCAGTCGAAGTCCGATAGTAAGCTTTAGTTGTAAAGCTTTTTTTCTGTTCTTCCACACTCTGCCTAGCCACATTTAATACTACCAAGTCGTTACTTTTCCCAGTACATGGTTGACACTAGCTTCGTTAGCACTTTCTCATGAAGTATTTTCTGAATAATTACATAGATCTGAATGTTTCTAAGCAGTTGTCTGCCATTCCTTGATAACTGGTATTTTCACTGTGGGATTGTTTCCTAAATGAACTTGGGATACACCTTTTACTCAATTCAAATCTGAATCATATTAGCCTCTGGCATTCTAAGCTAATTATACATATCAAACATAATATGGGGTTCGCAATTGGTCCGATAAATTCCTCTTTAATTTCCGTTTCTATTCTGCAATACTCTGCGAAGTTTTTCTATTCGAAAAACAGCTAAGATTTGTTTTTGAGTAGTTTCATTCGAATACCACTGCAACAATCTGGTAATATGACAATTCCCCGTCTCCCTTAGACAAATACATCTATGAAATATACCAACCCCCAATGGCCTGTCAAAGGAAACAGAACTATTGTAGTTTAGGTATTGTATGAATGTCATCAAATATTTGGAACTGTCCAGAAAAATCAAAGCATGAGTGCCAAAAAATGGTGATGAAATAAACCTCAGATATGAGGATTTATCAGTTCAGGAGAAATAATCTAGGTTCATTATATACCACCAAGATTGAAGCATTAAACTATTTAATAATGAAATATTAACAATCTGTAAAGAACATAATAGACTACATTCAAACAAACAACAATTCTGTTGATAATCCGGCAGTATGGTTACAAGTTTAGGGGATTAGATAGTTTTACTTCATTTTACTATTATGGACACTCAAAACATTTTTAATAATGGGAATGGTCATGTTTGTAATAGTAAGGTTAGTTTGATTAAAAAAGGATTTTTGTCATAAAATCTGCTATATTCGGACCCTATCTTCTATAAATAATTCTTCCTCAACATGAAACCTGGAGGTCCTGACTTATTTAGCGTACGGCTATGTGTTCTCACCAATGATCAATCCTAATCTACAACGAAGTAGTTGTTCAATACTTCTTAAATGTTAGTCGATTTCCGGCTGACAGTCTATGGTAGAAATTATATACATATTTGTAAAATGTCAGTGAATAGAACAGAAGATCTCTTGTGTTGCATAAATTCATCTCAGATACTCTCTCGTAATAATAACCTTTTCAAATGAACATTAATTTAAATAATAAAAGAGATGGATAGGGTCAGTGTGGTCGGTGAATTCCGATCAGCTCTAAATATCATGTTCTCATGCTTGTAGAAAAGTGATTATATTTTCGCAATGTGTTGACATTAGGATAAATCAGGAACGTTACAGAGATGTAGACTTATTTTATAAAAGGTGTATAGACCATTAGCGCAGACGATCTATGTCGAATAATTGGAGGCCGGGACAGGAATGGTGTAACCAATCAGCTAACGTCGAAGTCACACCTTATGGTTAATACTTAACGCTGATCACGGTTTCGTCGTAACCGGGTACTATGTTTGCTTTAGTGACCGTACAACGCAAACAACGTTATTGCAGAAATATGTTAATAAAAGTAGATACAACGAACAGAGTGCAAACACTGCCACATGGGTCATTCCGTGGCGTGCAATTAACTGATGCACGTTGTTTGTCAAAGTCTCCGACCATTAATTGGGATCATCACACACACTCCGATCAGGTAGTCGGAACCTGCCTACATAGATCAAATCAACAGTCACTGACTTCGTGAACTGATACCATTTTCTGGTTTGGATCCTACTAAACTAAAGGCAATGGTTAGACACGTAACATATGCCCCAATCTCGTTCGATGAGAATTCATCAACTGGTTAGTCGCCTATGCCAACTTCGACATCTCTCATTTCAGTCGACATTTGTAACAGATGTTGAAGCCAGTGTTTTGAGTTGGCAACACCACTTAAATATTCTAAACTTTTTTTACTCTCAATCTAATTTGTTTGATGAGAAAACGATAATTCAAGAGCTAAGTTCTCATTTAAATTCAGCATAGTGGGAGATTCAGATCTCCTTCTTCAAATGCTCTCACATGGACACGCGTATAGCCTCTGACAGGGAAGTCCTACTCATTGTGTTGTTTACGAAATTGAAATTCCGGCGCTTTAACCTGGTTGGTGGACACAGAGGGTCCACCTAGGGGAGTTGGAAAACCCTGATTCCAAACCAGCGGTGCACATTGGGCTGGTTCCAGGACCCTGAGGAAACAAATTGCGTATGAACCTACTGCTAGTCACCGGTTACCATGGGACTGTATCTCCTGACGTTGCTCCACTGTCTTGTGGATCAGACCCCAGGTCGAAGGCTCCGGTGTGCCCTCCTAAGAAAACCATCTGTTTCGATTTGGGCACCCGGGCAGTATTACAGCCCTCACACAAATCTCTTCAGATTTGTGTGGTGCATATGTACCTGGTGCCCCCTTTTCAAATAAAATAATAATATATGTAAATAATTCTATTCATTACTTTTTACTAATTCAGATGATTCATTGTAAAGTTTCATTGGAGTAAATTTTTTGTTAAAATATGTGTAGTTGTTTATTTGAATTATACATTCAATTTAATCAAAAATCTATATACTGATTTGATTGTTATACGAATGATTGTCATATAAATCCATTTATTAAAGTATACTAAGTCTCATTTCCTATAAACGATGTATTCAACTTGTTATGAACATCAATGTTGTTCAATTAATTCAATTACCATGGGACTGCATCACCTTACATTGTTCTACTGCCTTGTGGATTAGACCTTTAAGTTGAAGGTTCTGGATGTGACCCCCTAACAAAACTGCCTGCTTTGGTTTGGGCACCCAGGCAGTAGTATCCCAGTCCTCATACAAATCAAGTGACTTAAGTGGCGCACATCTATTTGGTGCCTCCTTGTACGAATGTTTATGTGTTTAAATAAATAAATAAATAATTCAATTACAAAATAGGATTACTTTAGGAAATATTTAACGTCAACTAGGGATCAATAATGATTTAAGTCACCTTATCAATAAACTATCCAGCATTCTATTGATATAAATTTTTTTCTTACATATAAAACGAAATTTTAGCTGTCTTCATGCTCTGGTCCTTGAAATTAATCGCAGTATTTGCATATTCTGTAAAATATCATAATCATACACATTCGTTGTTGTCTATCATTTCTTCATGAAAGGATTTACTTACCTACGTCTGTTAACCCTCGTGGAGGAGCATAGGTCGCCCACCACCATTCTCCATCCAACTGTATTCTGGACAATCCTTTTCAGTTGTTTCCAGTTGCTATTCATCCATTTCCAATTCTCGATGCAGTGTGTTCTTTGATCTTCATTTTTTCCGTATGCCTTCAGGATTCTAAGTTATCACTTGCTTCGTGATACAGTTTGATGATTTCCTCAATGTATATCCTATTCACTTCCAACGTCTTTTCCTAATTTCCTCTTCAGTTGGAAGCTGATTTATTCTTTCACATAGTAGGCTGTCGGTAATAGTATCCGGTCAACAGACATCGAGTGTTTTGTGTAGACAAATGTTCATAAATACTTGTACATTTTTTGATTATAGTCGTGGTAGTTCTCGAAGTTTCAGCTCCTTACAGTAGAACTGTCTTGACGTTCATATTGAAGATTGTGACAGTTGTTTTGAGTTCCATATGTTCTTCGACTGTAGGAATGCCACCCTTACTTGCCAGTCTTTGCCTTCAAATCTGCATCAGACCCTCCTGTTCACCGATGATACTGACTAGATACGTGAAAGTTTCCACGTCTTCCAGAGTTTCTCCATCAAGTGTGATTAACTTGGTGCTCTCCGTGCTGTATTTGATGTTCTTGGCTTTTCCCTTACGCATATTGAGGACTACTGATGCAGAGATTGCTGTTACACTGGTTGTCTTCATCCGCATATGTTCGTGTGTATAGAATAGAAGAGCTGATTCAGCTATCAAGTTCAAATTGTCTAGTTGCATCCGACCTGTCCATTGTATTCCAAGCTACCCCTGAGTTGTGAAGATATTCATAATTCAGTCAACCATCAGAAATAAGGGAAAGGGGGAGAGTAAGCAGCCTCGTCCGACACCGGTCCTTCATGAAAGACAGCTCTGATTAATTATTAAAATTGTAAAACAGATCTCTCTATTGAACCATATACAACACTCATAAAATCACTTGACAGAATAAGAAGCTAATTTTCTACAGTTAAACATCCATTAACTTATTTACCTTTATTTGGCGAACAATTTCAAATTCTGATGTTGTATGAAAGTCAGCACCTTCTTTACGTAATAATAAACGTAAAAAACGTGTTACATCTCGACCAGCTAAATCTGTACGTTCAATAGCATGTGGAAGAGCATAACCTTCATAGATAGGTACAGCATGAGTTACACCATCACCTGAATCTAATACAACACCTGTAGTTCGTCCAGTGGAATATCTGATTTTTATGTTTTTAAAACGAGAAAAAAGATAAGTATCAGAAGGGGTTTTGTAGAGATTGTAGTAATTTCAATAGTTGAGATCAAGAGTCAATTCAAGCTAGACCGCCATGGAAAACCTGGAAGCACTGAATGGCCATTTCGTCCTATTGTGGGACTCCTCGGCAGTGCGCATGCACGACCCTGCCTCTCGGGATTCGGACCCAGGACCTATCGGTCTCGCGTGTGAGCGCTTAACCACTAAACCACTGAACTTGCCGGCATCCAACGGTGTTAATGTCTAACTTCAACTAGTTGAAGTGCTTCCAGATTTTCCATGGTGGTCTAGTTTCAATTGACTCATGATCTCAACTATTGAAAAAAAGATAAGTTAATCTATGCCTCACCTCTATAAATCATAAAGAATTTAATTAATTTTAACAGGAAATTAGTTATGTATTTATTACAGACGAATAGTCGATAAAAACCTGGGTATGCCAAATAGATACTTATTTTGTTAATAGTTTTAGACGTGGTGGTATTTAGGGTGGTTAATGTAATTATTCTACAACACAGTGATTGTAGATTAAGTGCTTTAAAAGTTTGGTTGAAAATCAAGTAGCATTTTAACTTGGCTACTGAGTTGAATTGATAAACATATTCAGTAATAGTCAAGGGATAGCGAGGACTCTTCCACCTACAATAGTATTGAAATTGACTGAAGCAGTGAAATCCTATTTTATCTACATAATTGAACAATTTAATAAGCGAATTTTTATTTGATTACCGAGTTGGATTGGTCGTTCACACTTTGGGCACACAAAGTACCAAGTCAACACTTAATACTGGAGTCATGGCTTAGACTTAGTGATTGAAGTACTTGACTTTCAACCAATAAATCTTGAGTCTAAATTGTGTTACTTTATCCATCTCAGTTTAAGCGGTCAGGTAGTATCACTAGTTCTTGGACCTAGAGTGTAGTTCCAAACTGAGTATGTATTCACTCCCAAATGCCCTGGTATGGTCGAGGGTGGGGAGAGTCAGCTCTCACATACTCACGGATATACAGCCACTGTTGGGGAAGTCCCACCCACTGCCTTCTCGCGTCGAGAGCGTCGTTTACCAGATTTAGAGGATGAAAGCGAGTGTCTGGCTCTTTAACCGGGAGTTGGAGAACCCTGATTACAAACCAATGGTACACATGGGCTCCAGGGTCTTGAGGGAACAGATGGCGTATGGACCTATTTTTGGCCACCGGCTACCATGAAATTGCATCTCCTTACGATGCTCCACTGCCTTGTGGATTAGACCTTTAGGTCAAAGGTCCGGGGAGTGACCCCCTAAGAAAACCACCTGCTTTGGTTTGGGCACCGGAGCAGTATCACACCCCACACACAAATCAAGTGACTTATGTAGAGCATATGTATTCAGTGTACCTTTGTACCAATGTTTATATGTTTAAATAAATAATAATTAATAAATATATATTCGAACACCCAGTCTGGATATTCAAGTCTGCAACTGGAACCACAATATTTTTCGAATGAGTTTTGTAGTAAAAATCACTTTATTGGCAATAAAACTCGTTCTTTACTGTATCAGAGCTGTAATTCTTCAAAGAGTGAGAATAAGTAGTGAAAACACATGTTTCTTGTCGGTTAATTTTGACAGTGACTAAAAGTAAAGGACTGGTAATAGGGACCTGATCATTTGGTACCACTTTTGCCTTGAAGTCTCGTGCGATGATATTAAAACTAGGTTACGGTCTACAAAAATCAAGTTTAGAGAATTCTATTTAAGTTTGATATCGTTGGTAGTTATTTTTAAGGAAACTACTACAATTGAAAATAATTACGGTCGTAAGCAATTATAGTAGAGAAACAATGTATCATATAATCGTCTATATAAAATCGATGACTTACAAACTTAATACCGCTTGCATTGAAATGTAAAGCGCAGGTACACTAAAAGTTTCAAAGAATATTTCTGCCATTTTCTCTCTATTTCTTTTTGGATTATGTGGAGCTTCTGTCAATAAAACTGGATGTTCTTCACTATTGACCATCAATTGATCTTTGCCATATATATAAGCCCAAATACGTTCCATATCATTCCAGTCACGAATAATACCATGTTCAATAGGATATCGTATACTTAATAAACCACGATGTTCCTCTGCTTTAGGACCAATAAAATCATCACCTTCAAGAGCACCTGCCATAACTCTAACATGTTTTGGACGGCCAATACTTTAAAGAGGGGAGGGGGGTGACATTAGAGGTAAACCGACCAATTAACTTACTAATTTGGAAATCGGTACTTTGGTACTTGATCACCTGCGAAACCTGCTTTCAATATACCTGTACCCTAAAAGTAGAGAAATAATAAAAGTTCAACGTGAACTTTTAGATAATATGAAACACATGTAGGTGGTGGTCAATTACTGAAATATGTAGTACTGATCGAAGAAGATAGATTAGATTTGTTACGAATTCTAATGCACATTAAATTGTTAATCAGAGTAATAGTCAATATATAGGTCTTCCATTTAACAGCTTCAATTAATAGAGCAATAATGTTCTTACTGGTAAAAGTTACAAAAAAGTGGGTTTTAAGTTTGTTATTGACCAAATGTCGAGTGATTTTTGCGATGATGGAGGTCAGTTATCCGATTTAATTGACATGGACAATACAGAGCTGTGTAAACTGTTGGTTTTAATCCAAGGATAAGAATATAGTGCAGTTCAACACTGAGTTTTGTCGTACTGATGTAAGACAAGCATTCTGAGTTGAAAATGATGTTATTTGAATAAGAATGTTTTTGGGTATTTCTTCTTACTTGGACAAGGTGTGAAGAGTCAAATTACTACACAACTTAACACCACACATAAAAACGATGATACAAAAGAAATCCAAATATGTCAAGAAGAGCTGGAAAGTGAATAGGTATAAGCTAATTAATAATTCTCATTCCTTTGAAAGCCTTGATAAGTAGCCTGCAAGTTTCCTCACACAATCTTTAAATCGAAAGATCTCACTCCTTAGTGTTTCCTTCTGGTTCTTTTGCCCTTTTTTCCACCCAAGCGGGGTGGTGGGTACGTGTCTAACGTGTGGTATACCACATAGTCACCCGCGGACCCCCAGTCATGACAAAACCTCGCCGACTGGCACCGGACAAATTAGCTTTCTCTAAACGTGAGTTTGACAATTTACTAGCTACTAGCATTTCGTAATCCAAATGGCATTCGTAGAAACTCAAACAGGTCGATAGGAGTCGTGATAGCGGTTTTCTCGATATCTTCAAGAGCGACTGGGATCTGATGATATGCTCGTACCAGATCGATCTTAGAAAAAGTAGTCATGCCCTTGAGTGATGTCGTGTATGTGGGGGATGGGTTAGATATCAAAACGTGTAACTACGTTTAATGCTCTGTAGTCGCCGTATGGTCTACAACTAACACCATCCTTTGCGCACCGGACAAATTAGCTTTCGCTAAACGTGAGTTTGACAATTTACAAGCTACTGGTATTATTCGTCCTTCTCACAGTCGCTGGGCCTTACCATCTCATATGGTTCGCACGTTACACGAGCATGGCTGTGGGAACATCGGCAATGATGAACGCCCAAGGATACTGTCGTCGGTTGTCCAGGTTGACCGTAAGCTGTCGTGTACCATAGGTAGGAATGACTGAGTCATCCGCAGCGCGTAGTCGAAGCATCGTAGCTTCAGACTTACTGTTACCGATAGGTACGACAGAAACTTGGGAACATGTATCTACTAGGTACCTAGCGTTAGTGCGATAATCGTGCACACAAAATAAACGGCCAACCTGAGGCGAAGGGCAGGCGAGTTCGGCCACATTTACTCGCCGGTTTGGGAGTTTCCCGCCTTGTATGAGCAGGGGTCTCGACAGCGGTGGGCACCGGACCCGAAGGCACGGCGGAACCAGCACCAACCCGTACTCATTTCTGAAGCCGTCTCTTTGGCGTGGCTTGGGAGATGCCCGCTTAGGGCGAGTAGTTACGGCTTTATTTATCTATTATTTAACACATAGATATTGGTACAAGGAGGCACCAAATACATATGCGCCACACAAATCTCATTCGATATCTATGAGGGCCCTCACACATATCGAACGAGATTTGTGTAGCGCATATGTATTTGGTGCCTCCTTGTACCAATATCTGTGTTAAAATAAATAAATAAAACAATAGGGCTGTGATAGTGCCCGGGTGCCCAAACCGAAGCAGGTGGTTTTCTTAGGGGGCCACTCCCCGAGCCTTCGACCTGAAGGTCTAATCCACAAGGCAGTGGAGCATCGTAAGGAGATGCAGTCCCATGGAAGTCGGCTTTACGGGAGCGTGACCTGACTCGGGGGACGCAAGGTTCTGGTATATTGGAGCTGTTTCGAAAATTGAGACGGGTATGAATACAGCTACCCCTATCACCCTGAGCCGAAAGGCGACTAGCGTCGAGATCTACGTTCGAGCGTGATGTTGAGGCAACTATATAGTCGTCTCGGGTGTTAGTCCTTGCCAGTATCTTATCTACTATAAGGGCCACCTGGTTAAGTGGTGTATACTCGAGCAGAGCCGTAATCGTTGGTTGTATATGTACTGGAAGAGGTTCAAGCCATAATTCTTTAACGATTTCGGAATCCGCTGTCGTAGGTCCTGTGAGAGATTGCAGGCGCGTGAGGTGATGGCTCGGTTTAGCGTCACCCAGGAGGTAACGTGCTAATAGTGTCCTCGAGCGTTCCTCCCTCGATGGGAGGAAATGTCTGAGGATCGCCTCTTTGAGACGATCATAAACGTTAGGTACATTCGGGTTGAGGACAATCTTACGAACAGCCCCCAAATGCCCTGGTATGGCCGAAAGTGGGGTGGGCCTGTCCTCCCTCTTGAAATGCTCTTACACGACCACGCGTACACAGCCTCTGCAAGGGAAGTCCTACTCACTGCTTTCTCGTGGCGGGGGTGTTGTTTACGAAAAATGAATGTCCGGCCCTTTAACCGGATCCCAAACCAAATCGATGGTGCACATGGGCTCCAGTATCCTGGGGGAACAAATGGCATATGAACCAGTCGTTGGTCGCCGGCTACCATGGGACTCCATCTCCTCACGATGCTCTACTGCCTTGTGGGTTAGACCTTCAGATCAAAGGCTCGGGGTGTGGCCCCCTAAGAAAACCACCTGTTTCGGTCTGAACACCCGGGCAGTACCACAGCCCTCACACAAAGTGTGGCGCATATATATTTGGTGCCCTCTTGTACCAATATTCATGTGTTCAAATAAAAAAATACGAACAGCAGTGATGTGATCCCCGGGTGACGTTTTCAGAGCGTAAGCATATTTCTGCCGTTGATTCGTTATGCGGCGGATCTCAAATTAAGACTCCAGAGCCGCGAACCAAACTTCTGGATCATGGGGAATAAAAGAGACAGGTCGGAAATTGATGACCTGTACCTCGGAGTCTATTATATTAATACCACTCTTATCGTTATCCACCATATCAAGTTGTTGCCCGGATTTTATATATTGAAAATATCAATACGAATATATGCAACAGATGTGGATAGATAGATAATAGACTCGCCGTGACAGTGTTCTTTGGGAGGTTTTCTAGCGGTTGAAATGTGTTTGCAGTTTTGGCTCACCAGATGTAGTACGCGTCGAGTCGCGGTTGACTGTGATCACCACTACAGGAAGACTCCATGGCAGTTACTAGGTTAGATCCCTCCGTAGGCCAAATATCAGAAAGTAATTGGATGTTGTAGTAGGATGTATTTGTTGGCGATCTCGTGGTATCGAAATAATACCGAGATCGTGCCAAAGTATACAAGTGGGATTACTGAGCGTAACCGAGTTCGTGAAACGCCAAAAACAACGGAAGAATGTGTGTTTTTAGCACACTTAAAAAAACAGGTACAGTAAAATAATTACTGGTACAATTGGTTATAATAATAATTGTTTGTATTATACCAATTACGTTCTTTTCATAAACGGAGGTCACTACAGGAGCCGCTTGCTAGAAAGGGATTTCTCTTTTGATACGTAGCGATTTTGTTCGTGGGACTGATCGGCAGATGTGCGACTGTAGGACGAAAGGGTTGGCACAACAGGAAGCGATCGTTGATCGAGTTGCCACCGAAGGTCTTTTTGGTAGAACGGTACCACGAGAAACGTGTTGTATTTGTTGCTCGAGTTAGCGTACCACACCAGAGTGGTTTTTTGATCTAGGATCTGAGGATTGCATTCGTTTGAGAATAGAGCAAACCTACAATAACTTACCTTTTTACAACTATTTTCGTCAATATGCTGAACTATTTAAAATCTAGGTTGAACACCATCACACCTGCTTTATTCCGAGCAACGGCATATTATCCTTAGTTCTCACAAGAATTGTGGGAAAAGTTTTAAGAAAAGCTCTTATGACTGATTAATTAGTTCTAATATTGTGTAATTTAAGAAAATAAAACCTCATCGTATGGCTCCTACCTTAATTTGAATAAGTGAAAATACCTTTTCGAAGTGTTCTAAAAATTATAGAAAGAATGAAGTTTGTCAGTGAGTCCCTTAGTTTGACATATATAAAATGCTAAGACCACATTACTTCAGTCGCTTTAAAAACGACTCGAAGAATTTTCTTACCAAGAATAGTAAACGAAAACAGATTACACGTAAGGAATCAGGTGTTACAAGTTAATTAAACCAAAAGGTGTAAGTATTCGTAAAGTCGCTTGTGAATTGTTTAAGCCTTTTAATCGGTCATTTGGTATTAAATTAAAGACTAAATAATTTGAGAATTATTCCCCTCTGGGGCAGAGACACAAATAACCCCTTAAATAACTTCACATAGTTTCTGTGTTATCGACACTTGTTGACTACCAAACGAGCTGGTCTTGATGGACAACGACTTAGTAATCAAAATTAAACTTCGTGGATATCTGAACATCATAAAATTACATATAATTCTCTACTATTCTGGGATTCGGTCTGAAAATTTTATCTCGCTATGCTAATAAGGTACGGTAACTTGAGCCGATGTACATACATACCAAATTCTACGTTGTGACTGACTGACAATAATCCATTGCAATTATAATGGCATAATTTCCCCGAAATTTATTTCCCAACGAACTAAAGGGAACGAGTCTTTCCCGACCGTTGTTGCTACCTTGACGTGGTGGTCGGGCTTGCCTATCGTGATGAAGCAACCGAGCTATACTGGCTGGAACAACCGTTCCTCAAGGTCCTACCATGTCAGACAGGTCGGTTGAAGAGCGGTAAGACTAAAAGCAACAAACCCAAGGTCCGAAGGCGAAGTCGTACTGCTGACTGTACAGAGGTGTGACAGCAGTAAGGTGTTTCCTTCAGACAACCAGCATGACAGCGATGCTGCCTTCCCACAAGGAGGGGTGGGGTTAGAAAAGGTCGACCCTAAAAATGCACACCTCACCTTACCTCACGGATTTCCGTCTCCGGCGGTAAGGCCCTTTGAAGAACGGAGCTAACACGTCAAAAACCTCCTACGAAAAGGCCGTGCACGACCGGCCTCAAGCAGTTGTCCCTTGGGCACTGCGGTCACGCTCTCAGGTCACTAAGACCACCTTTAATCCAATTTCCTTTTCAGGTACCTCCAGAAGAACCCTTCCACGGTGTGGGCAACCGGGAAGTGATAACCGCCCTCATACCTCTAACAGCACCCAAGACCACTGTATTCATAATCAACCTCCCTCTTCAATTCCTATTATTCCTCCTACATCGACTTTCAACTTTAAATTTCCTCTCTCGGCTTCCACCTCAAGTGTCACCATAGCCAACGATTCTAGTGCGCAAAACACTGTCCCAGGTCTACTGAAACCTCGCTCCAAACTACACATTGGAGCCTTCAACGTACGCACCCTATGTCAAATCGGTCAGCAGGCTTCCTTGGCTAAAACCCTAGAGTCTCTTTCCATTGATGTATGCTGTGTCTCCGAAACACGCATACAGGATTCCAGTGTGGTTATTCACTTGACCTCACCTCGGCAAAACGGAGAGCCAACAAGATACACCCTTCGTGTATCTGGTGACCCGATGGCAAGTTCTCGTGGACTGGCAGGTGTAGGCATAGCACTAAGCATGAGGGCGGAACAAACACTGCTAGAGTGGATCCCCGTCAACAGTCGTTTATGTGCCGTTCGGCTGAACGGCTACGTAAGAACTCGGAAGGATAGGGACACACGTCGTTGCCTTTTTGTCGTTTCTGCCTACGCTCCCACTGACTGCAGCTCAGATGAAATGAAAGATGAATTTTACAGAAAGCTGTCCGAACTTCTTCAGAAAGCTAAACGCTCAGACATAGTACTCGTAGCAGGTGATTTTAATGCTCAGATAGGTAGCTTAAACCAAACAGAAAGGCATTTAGGTGGATATTTTAGCATTCCGGCACAGCGAACAGATAATGGTGATCGTCTGCTGCAGCTATGCTCAGACAATCGTTTATTTTTAGCAAACACAAATTTTAACATGGCGACCCCCTACACCAAACCAACGATGGACTCAAATAGACCATATTGCCATCAGTCATCGTTGGAGAGGGTCGGTAGAAGATTGTCGCTCATTCTGGAGTACCTGCTTGGACTCCGACCATGCCCTAATACGGGCACGCATCTGCTTGCGCCTCACTGGACGCAAAAAAGCCACATTAAAAAGACCCGTCAGAACTGAGTTGAGTAACGAGAAAATCAAAAGTAGGTTCCAGGAACAACTGAGGTCACACTTAGGTAGTTGTGAAGACGAGGCTGACCCAGATGTTGCTTGGAAGGGCATACAATCAGCTGTGGAAACAGCAGTGACATCTATTAGTGACTTAAACCACAGAGTTGCAAGGAACCAGTGGATTTCTTCAAGGTCTGTCACACTGATGGATTCTCGTAAACTCGTCCCATCAGGTTCTGAACATGATGAAGAGCGAAAACAAATCAGATCTAGGTTAAGAAAAAGTCTAAGGAACGACCGTGAGCAGTGGTGGGTAACGAAAGCAAAAGAGATGGAAAAGGCGGCGACTATAGGGAACACAAGACAGCTTTACAGACTAATAAAAGAAACTGGAATTAATAAGTCAAGTGTAAGTGAGATTATTTCGGAAAAAGATGATACTCTCATCTGCTCCCAGTCCAGGCGTTTAGAACGATGGGTGGAACATTTTAGAGAACAGTTCAGCTGGCCTTCAGCTACTCTACAACTACCCTCCATTCCCAGACAGTGTGAATGGAACATTGAAGTAGGTCCCCCTACTCTTGCTGAAGTTCAAAAGGCTATAGTTAATCTGAAACGAGGAAGGGCAGCTGGTCCAGATGGATTGGCTCCAGAGGTCTTTAAGGATGGTGGCCCAATTTTAGCGATTAGGTTGACTAATATTTTAGCTAAGATCTGGGAATTAGACTTTATCCCATCTGACTGGTCGCAATCACTTATCGTCCCAATATATAAGAAAGGGTCAAAATCATCCTGTGACAACCACAGAGGGATTAGTTTAACAAACATAGTATCTAAAATACTGGCCTCGATAATTATCAAACGCCTAACTAAGACTCGTGAACTACAAACTCGAGAGAACCAAGCTGGCTTTAGACCTGGTCGTGGCTGCATCGACCACATATTCACCATTCGTCAGGTTCTAGAACACAGGCATACCTATCGGCGTCCGACGATGGTGGTCTTTCTTGACTTAAAAGCAGCATTTGATTCTGTAGACCGCGAGACTCTGTGGCAGTGTCTGTCATTGAAAGGCGTACCTCAGAAGTACATAAACCTTGTGAAGGCTCTTTACTCGAACACTACTAGTCGAGTCAGAGCTTATGGCGAACTGTCATCTACTTTTGCAACCTCAAGTGGTGTCCGTCAAGGCTGTCCGCTTTCTCCATTTTTGTTTAACTTCATCATAGACCTATTGATGGAAATAACACTCTCGTCGACTGAATTCTCGGGTATTGATCTCCTTCCAGGAGGTCCACTTATCGACTTAGAATACGCAGATGACATAGTCCTGTTTGGTGAAGACGCTGACAAAATGCAGAGTCTTCTGGTAGCACTAAGCAACAATGCCAGAATGTTTGGGATGCGCTTCTCTCCCTCTAAATGCAAGTTGTTGCTTCAGGACTGGTCTGCGTCAACACCTGAACTAAGGATAGGGAGTGAAGTAGTCGAACGCGTCGACAACTTCACTTATCTTGGAAGTCTGATCAGCCCTAATGGGTTGGTGTCTGACGAAATCTCAGCACGGATTCGAAAAGCTCGTTTGGCTTTTGCCAACTTACGTCACCTTTGGCGGAGGCGAGATATCCGTCTATCAATAAAAGGACGAGTATACTGCGCGGCAGTTCGTTCTGTCTTACTTTACGGCAGCGAAACATGGCCTTTAAGAGTGGAAGACACCCGTAAGCTACTAGTATTTGACCACAGATGCCTTAGAAATATTGCTGGCATCTGCTGGGATCACCGGGTAAGTAATAGTGAGGTTAGACGCAGGGTATTGGGGAATGATGGTAAATCAGTTGATGAGGTTATGAATCTTCATCGACTGAGATGGTTGGGCCACGTATTACGTATGCCTGAACACCGATTACCACGACGTGCAATGCTAACCGGTGTAGGGGATGGTTGGAAGAAAGTTAGGGGCGGCCAAACCAAAACGTGGCATCAGTGCCTGAAGTCACTAACTTCTAGTCTGAGCCATGTTGGTAGATGCAGACTACTTGGTTGGGGTCCGCGTGACTTTCGTAACCAATGGTTGGAGACTCTTGGTGACATGGCTCAGAATCGATCACAATGGCGTCGGTGTATACACTCCCTGTCTTCCCTTAAACTAAGAGATTAAAATCACTTCATATCTTTCTTTCTACGAACTAATTCTTTCTTCCTATACTATATCCTTATTGCAACCTTTGACCTAACCACTCCTATGAATCCGGTGTTCATCTTGCTGTGCTAATGAGGTATGGCAACCTGGACCGATGCACATATGTGCCTGGTCCTACGTTGTAGCTGACTGACTGACTGAACGAGTCTTTACTAAATTACAAAGTACACACCGTTGATACAACAATTAAGCGTTGTGTATTTAAATTAACATTAAGTCATTTCTGTCCTATGAAGACGCAATAAACTTGCCCTCTTATCAGCTAAACGCACAATTTATAATGATGTCTTTGAAATTGATCATTAAAAGATTGGTATTTAGTGGTATATACTGAATCCTGATTTAATGCTTTTAGGTAACTATCTGAAACTAAATGTAAGTCATGGTTGGTTAGAAAACCATGGTCTTATTCAGAATACGTCTCCTTAATTATGCTGACATAACCAGACTCGGAATTTCAACTTTTCAGTATCTAGTCACTAAGCAGAAGTTTGTGAAGTAAAACGGTACAGGCCAGCTATTAGAATGAAAGTTATACTTTGAGGTCTAGAGATTTATAAGGAGTCAGGCTTCTAAGTATAATTTCTGATTTATTACATGTATATTGATGGCGTTACTCGCTAGGTTGGTAATCCATGTCTGGTTTGTTTTTACTTATGAAATGGAAGTGAAAACTATTTATGTTGCACTGGTGTTTGGTCGCGATAGTAATTCTGACAGTGGATGTTAACAGGGACTTTTGTGAAGACATATACATGCTTACTACTTTTCACAAAGAATTAGTACGATAATAACTACAAAACGTGAAAGTTGTAGGTCCAATTCTGGAGGACTCATTGACCAGAAGCTCAAAACTGCTGCACACGAGACTCTTAACATAAAAGGCTTCTGAGGGTTGTGTTTTTGCTGTGATTCTGCCGTAAATTTGTATTACATGAAGCACAAACTGGAAATATGTTGCGGAGAATAGTAAGCTTAGAAACACGGTTATCTCTTCCGATCGTGAAAGTTTTGGGGAGGAATATAAACTGGCCTCATGCAACTTTGATTCTTGGATATTAATAATCGTCGTTATGGCTGCGTGTAGCTTACTCATTGATGTACTTTACATCAAACTAGTCGCTAAGTTAGAGGGTTGTTTCAAACATAATGGATCAGACTTTTCTGGTAAGGACTGTTGTTTATACACTGATAATTTGGCCAGGAACAGTATATGCTTTTTTAACTTAAATGTAAATTCTACGTAGTAACGCTGAAATTAACTTCACCTCAACTACCAACCAGATATCCACTAGGTCGAAATTAGTTAATAAATAGCAGGGAAAGAGATGATCACAAAAACTGGTTTTACTCACTATATCTATAACTACAGGCTGGTTTGTTATAACATCATAGGAATCCATAACACAACAAGGTAGCGCACAAAACCCAAAGTTAGCACTGTAGTTATTCAATATACAAATGGTTCAAATTGGTTCAAAAGGTTGTGGACTGAATAGAAGAAGCTTTCGCTTAACAGACTTCCGTGTCTAGTAGCAGTGGACCACCAATACCTCCAGACAGGAACCTAGGTATATTAACGATAATAGAAGAAAAAGAAATAGGTATATCATAGTAGGATATTATCCTTTGTCCTCAAGAATAGGTAAGTTACCTCTTAAAAGACTCCTGGGAAGTCGCTTGGACTAGCTTAATTGGCAACGAATTCCAGCATTTAACAACTCTTAGGAGTTGAAGTTTTGTCTACAGCCCGTTCTGCTGTGTTGTGTCTCCAGTTTCTGGGTGTTACCTCTTAGGTTTGTGTTGGAGCTAAACTTAAGTAGGTGTTTAAGAGGATGTCCAGAAGTGTTGAGAATACCGTAAGCTATTAGAAGGTCACCTCTAGGACGCCTGCAATCTAATGGGTAAAGGTTTAGTGATTGAGGAAGCTCTTCATAAGGCATGGATTTGAGTCTCCGGACTGATTTCGTGGCTCGTTCTAGTGTGAGGAAGGAAATACTGTTTCCGTACTGTAAATGGGGTCGAATAAAACTGTTTAAGATTATGTGGAAAGCTCTTCCGTCAAACTAACCAAAAATGCGCTTCAATGTTACCAGTGCAAAGTTTGCTCGAAAGACGTTTTTGTCACTGCGTAAGACTTCAAGTCGTAGGGTACCAGTACTCCTAAATGCTTTTTAACCTGGGATACTTCTAGAGAGGAGTTTGCCAAGTTGCAACTGTAGTCTGCAACATATCTCAGATAGACTACTTTACACATTGAAGTGTTAAAGGTATGTCCGTTGTCATCTGCTCAACTTTGAAGTCGAGTCAGATCTGTAGTGTCAGTTATTATGGCAAGCCCATATACCTTATTCTAACTTCCGGACATCCTATTTTATTCATTTTACTTGAGCCATATTTTGACCTTGTCAATTATTCGCTTATTAGCCTCGACTGTTTTCACATGAGCGTATATGTGTGTACACTTCATGTCCCATGATTCATCACATGTCTGTAGTTTATTTTGTCTGCCTATAAATACTGAGTAACACTTAATTAAAAGGGAGTTGGCTTCCCAGCCATCTTCCATACGTGTCAAAATTGCTTTGTTATGGCTCTCGCTCGCTTAGCATGCGAACGGGCATCCTCATTGGTAAGCCCGCCGACGACGAACGCAACGCAGCAAGCTACGTCGATGAAAGCACTTCTGCACTCTATACGTTCGACGAACATATTCAGCGAAGCCAGCGCAATCTCCAATCCGACGCAATCAGCACAGCCTGTGCAACATGACATGGACACGCTCAAGTCGTATTATCTTATCGATACTTTGTCCTCATGTCAATTATCCTCATTGATACATTTTTCGGATTGTTCCATTACGATTCAAATTGTCATTATATGCTTTTTATTACATTATTATCAATATCATGACCGAATGTGGAATTATTAATCTTGTTCGTGCTGTCACTAAATTGACATTTTCGCAATCATATCACTCACCGAACAAATTATCATTTTATGAAAATTCCACTCCGCGTAATGACATCCAGAACTCATTGGAATATTTTTACTATTCAAAAACGTGAAATTTTCCTGCTTTAAGTGAGTTCGTTCCAATTTTTTTCATGTCATTTTGATCTAATATTACATTCATTCACTTAGTCGATGTCCGCAATTTATGTTATCACAACATACATTTTTCATTTCGAAATCGCCTCGTATTATGTCTGTGGATGCTTCTGAATAGCTGATTAGTAACCATTACGCTCATTTTATCTATTCTTCCACGTGCATAACTACATTCTGCATCACTTATCACTGGAAAACGCTATTCGAGTACTGCAACTACTATTCTATTCTATACCCATCGCTCGGTATATCAGAACATAGAGTTTAGAGCTAGCCTCTCAAAGATACACTCTTGTTCGTCACATCCAAGTCAGTCTCGTACGTCGCCATCACTAATCATATGTGTTGGTATTTTTGTCATGCTTTGGTAAGGTTTTGTAACAAACGAGATCGAGCGCATCTCCCTCAAACCACACAAACCACTCTAGGCTTCATGACCAAAAAGGGATACTACTCTACGTACTTCGTCTACTCAGTCACTAATCTGTTCCTCTGGTCATTCTTCTACTAATACAAATTTAGTGATAACTCAATGCATCTGTCATAACGCAGACGACAACGTCCACTGACTTCAAATTTTATGATTATTATCAATTGCAGTACAGCAACGAATATCACCCGTCGATGCACATATCATTTCACGACTTTCCTACTATCATCCTACGCATTTAAATTCGAATTCACTCATCACTAGTCAATGCGATTTATTCTGCTGCGGCTCAACAGAACATATATTTTGCATATTTCACTATTTTGTCAGCATCACAGACCAATTTCTGTCGTATCCTACCCTACTTATCTTCATGATTTGTTTCGCTGTCATACCCACAAACAATTTATTATTATTTTCACGATATTTTGAATCGCTCATACAAACGTGTTATTTTATTGTTCAGACAGTCATAGCATTAGTACATGTTAATTTTTGTACGCTCATTAATTGGCTCATATTCGCATGCTAACGTTTCCATTTTTGTCCGCATCTTTTCTATATTCATGTATTTTGCATAAGCATGACATTTTCATATAATACACTCACCCCTCATGTGACATTGTACTTTATCGAGTGTTGTACAATTTTTTGGCTACTTAGTGTTAGCGTTAACTTCATATCACTTCAGTGTTATTTTCGAAAACAGACATTTTTTAAATGTGCTATTTTCTACAAGGGGGCTATGTAGTGTCAGTTATTATGGCAAGCCCATATACCTTATTCTAACTTCCGGACATCCTATTTTATTCATTTTACTTGAGCCATATTTTGACCTTGTCAATTATTCGCTTATTAGCCTCGACTGTTTTCACATGAGCGTATATGTGTGTACACTTCATGTCCCATGATTCATCACATGTCTGTAGTTTATTTTGTCTGCCTATAAATACTGAGTAACACTTAATTAAAAGGGAGTTGGCTTCCCAGCCATCTTCCATACGTGTCAAAATTGCTTTGTTATGGCTCTCGCTCGCTTAGCATGCGAACGGGCATCCACAGATCCTCCTCAAGTGCCAGTATATCCTCTTGGTTGAGTATCTCTCTCCAAATTTTCACGTCATCAGTAAAAAGTAATAAGTCAGACGATACCTGTTGTTGAAGATCGTTTGTACAAATCAAGAAAAGAAGAGGCTCTAGTACTGAACCCTGAGGGACCCCACTAGGACATTCCATATCCCGAGAGAAAATGAAGTTAACCCTGACCTTAAAATGTCGATTTTTTAGATATGAAGTGAGCCAGTCAGTTAGAAGTGGTTCAATACCAAATCGTTTGAGCTCATTGGTACGGCATATATGGTTGACCCTATCAAAAGCTTTTGAGAAGTCGAGGTAAATGGCATCAACCTTCCTCTTGCAATCAAGGATGGTTGACCATCTATTCACCACAGTCAGTAGGTTAGTTGTACAAGAATGACCCTTCCTGAAACCGTGCTGTTGGGATGAAAAAAAGTTTGAGGATAAAAAACAATCATGTATGTCATCGCATATCAGGGACTCCATTATTTCTGAAGCTATAGAGAGAAGGGTCACCGGCGGTAGTCATAGTCAATATTTTTTTTACGTAAATGGTATAATTAGTAGAGTTGCTGATCAGTCTTAAGTCCCTCATTTATCTATGTAGAGACCAGGTTTTACCTAGGAAGATTCATTGATCAAACGAATGTTACTTGCTCAGGAGGCACATTCCAATATCTAATGTGATGAGCTGATAAAAACTGACTAAATTCCCTCAACCCGCTTCTTGTTATTGCAGTGCGGTTCTAGGTCTCTGCGTCTACCGCTTAATGAGGAAAACAGTATTACTAAGTGAATCAATTCGATGGTGGTCCTTGCATCCTTTTATTTAGGAGACCATAGGTCTGTAGCGGTAAATTGGTCCCCAAAATAAATATTCCTGTAAGTCTTTGAAATCAATGCTGACCTTACTAGTATTACTGGACATACCTAGATGAAAACGCTCGGTCACACATCCACACCAGGTCTCGAGTGTGTATTGCATGCGGCGTATCTCTTGCAACTGTTATCCAGCTTAGGCCAAACGGTTCACGACATGAGGATAGCATTCCAAATATGTCTTCGAACCCCCTCATTCCTAATTTTTGGTTTTACTGGGTTGGTATCTTTTTGTTATACAGGCGTAAAGTGTAGTGTCATTCTAGCCCAACAATGTAGAAGCCCGGTTTTGATATTTAGAAGCTGACTTCTACGAGCGCGGCATGGCAGACGCACGTGCACAGTTCGCAGTAGTGAAAGCACTGTCGCGCGATCTTAGCAGGCACGTCGCACCTAGTATGTTTACTAGTGGGTTTTCGAGAATTTACGACAAGTTGAAGATGGCTATCCTCAAGGGTGGAGACCTAACCGACAGACCAGGGTTAAACCAACTGTTTCACAATACTCTCTCTTCTGACTGTTGATTCGACTGGACTGGTATATCTTGATTATATGAGTGTAAAGTATAAAGGATTTGTCAAACTCCGAATTGTCGTGCGATCTTTAGGTCTTAGAGGAACAAACACATTATGCTATTGAAATATGGAATGCCAGTATAACCGCAAATAACTTACTAAATACATGGCTATGTAAATATTTAACACTGATACTGACCTTGCCAACTGCTGGGGAAGCTACTGGATGAATTCGCTTGTGTATGAGTCGCGAGCATATTATGAGACAGCCTACGTTAAAATATCAAATTTTCATTTAAATATAGCTCTAAAATAGCTGAACTTAGCGAAAACAAACTCAATTCGACCCCTAGATTTCACGATCAGCGGTATATCGGAAATATTTCTATTCTTATCAAGGAAATTCAATCCATCCTACAAACATTTCCAAGGTTTAAGAGCTTTTAATGTCTGTAACACTAGTAACTTGTGTAAACTCTCAACGCCTACGTGATTTATTTGAACTTTTAAACGAAAAAACCATACCAATCTCCAAGGTATTCTGCACACACATAAATGCGAATGTTATTTATACTTAGGTGTCC